TTTTTTTTCTCCTCCGAGACCAACGGAACCTCGATTTTCCAGGCTTTTATTCCAGGCTCTAGTCTCGAGAACGTTTAATTCCCTCCTTTCTTCTCGCACACTTTGCTCTTCCTCTTCTACCTCTCTTGGCACCTCCGGGTCACCGCCCATCACCCCCCTCCCAAGATTCTTTGCAATTCCTTGCAATCCTTCGTTCGATCGTCGGAATCGTTTGCAACACTTTCTTTCGCAAGTCTCTCTTATTTGGTTTAGTTTATATCTACTGGGTAGCTCGTCCATAACGTACGTTGTAAAAGTATGTACATACAGAGCGAACGGCGGAGATCTCGTCGATCCGTTCGATTTCAGGGAGAAGACGTATCGAGACACACGGGTGCGAAGGGAGACGAGAGCCAGGGAAAAGACGAATCGACACACGCGCGACAGAAATTACACACACACGTGTACATATATATATATATATATATATATATATATATATATATATATATATATATATATATATATATATATAGTATGTATATATACATATATTGTACAAAGTACAGAGAGAAACACATGACTGCGATGACACATGATGCGACGTAAATAGACACGTTAAACTAGTGTTAAAGAGTGCGAGACAGATTATCGGATAAACACGTAGAAGCGAAGAGAGACACCGAATGCACAGACAGAGACTGTATGTATGTACGTACAAAGTATAGGAGAGATATTTACAAATAGGCAAGTTACAAGTAGGTATGATACAATACGACACGTATAATGTAATACGTCATATGTATAATATTATAGATTAGAGAAGATCGAAGGTTGCTCTTGCCCAAGGGACCAGTTTAGAATCGAAGATGTGTGTGTATGTGTATGTGTGTGTGTGTGTGTGTGTTGCTCGAAGCTCGCGGTGCACGATCGGAACGTGCCCTTGCTACCGTCTAAACTCTATAAGCTAGTCGTTAACGTTCGTAGTTACTTTCCTCCTTCTCTAACGTGAATCTGACTCTACGCGAAGCTCTTCGTTCACGTTCCCTTCTCGACGATTTTCCTGCGTCTCGTTCAACACGAATCGTCGAGTTTTCAGTTTCACTCGAGTCGTTTCAAGGGACTCGGAGGCGACCGGCAATGAGAAAAGACGGTAAATCCAACAAGGTAACGCAAATATCAAGCTTCGACGTCTAAAAGGCCAAGCTAAATATTGCGTGTAATTATTATATATATGTACGTATGTATGTACGTATGTATATATACGCGACATCAAAGTCGGTGCACGAGCTTGCATACACACACGCGCATACGTATACACAAAACACAAACACACACACACACACACACACACACACACACACCAGTCGTGAGAAAAATGTGAAAAGGTTCAAAGGTGTGCGAGTAGAAAGGAAACGTCTCGCGTTAAATTTCAAAGAGAGAAAGAGGCAAGTGGCACGTTTAACGACGAGCGAGGGTAGATAATTGTTTCAACGTTCATCCATACTCGATTTCGTTGCTACGTTCCCGATGTACAAAGTGGAAAGAAAAGTTTGTTTCCGTGACCATCATAGATGAATTATACACTTTCGACTTGATGGGAACACACGTAAAGAACATGCCGCAAAATTGATCTTGACCTTGAATTTCAAGGACAAAAAAAGTTTTTTCTTCTTGCACTGTGTTCTACTCATCACAAAGGTAAAACTTTCCCAAGGAACCATAGGTCGCAAACTAATAGTTCTTTTGAATAATGGCAGAAAAGTTCCTTAACCACTTGCGCTTAGTAACTGATTGCGGACCATAACGAGTGACCAAACCGTATACAATAAATCATCGCTTCCTTTTTGAACTCGTCGGTATATCACTCTAAATAGATAGAATTATTAAGAATTATAATGAATTTATTACTTGTTTTTCCTGGGTTATATATAAATATATTTAAAACTGAGGAAATATTGCAATTTTGGGGCAAAAAATTCTCGACGTTAAAGAGGTTAACCACTTGCGCTGACCATATGCATGGCAACTGACTGCGAACCATAACGAGTGACCAAACCGTATACAATAAATCGTCGCTTTCTTTTTTGAATTCGTCGGTATAATATCACTGAATAGAAATTATTGAGAAGTAATAAATTTATTATTTGTTTTGCTTATTTAAACTTATTATAAACTGAGAAAATATTACAATTTTGAAACAAAAGGTTCTCGACGTGCGTGGCACGTCATTCCAGCGCAAGAGGTTAATTGCGAACGCGTATGTGCTAACGGCGACTTTATGGATTAGGTTTCACTAATATTTGATTTATCACAGTTGTCGTCATCAGTGTGAGTCCAAATAATCAAGTAATAAATCTAATTGTTAATATTTTTCGAAATATTAACAACATTACATCCAGAATCATAAAGTCACTGTTAGAACGCACGCAAGTGCCCACAGTGTTAAATGATTAAGAAACATTTTTGCCATTTGTTTCCTTCAAATAGTTTCACATTCGAAGGAATTCACCTATAACAGCCACGAACAAGCTTTTCTTTCCACCCTGTGCATACTTGTCTCTCGTCGAGTGTCTCGACGAGACGAGCGAAACGCGCATCGGCGAAACGGCTCATCGCCAGATCGGTCGTCGCGAGGAAGAATGGGTGACGGTGACGATGACGGAAAAATAAAGAAGCGACAGATACAGAGAGGGCAAACACGCTGGAAAAGAACGAGAAATAAACGGAAAAAGTAACTAGATTCTATTACGCGCGTAGTGCTACAGGTTGTAGCACTGTATCCCCCCTCTTTAGCTTTCCTCCTTGTCTTTTCTCCTCTTTTTCCTTTGCACCTCCCTCTGTCCCCTCCCCTCCAGCCCCTCTGTTCCTTCCGTCGCTTCTTTATCCTCGTGTCCAGTGAGACAAGAGTATGCAAACAGGGAACACGTTTCTGTGCGCACATCGAGACAAACAGACAGTAGTCTAAATGTACGAGCGTTAACGCGCGGTGATATCGATGCACACGTACGGCAGATACGTACGTAGCCATTCAAAGGCGAAAATAGCGATCCTCGCGATGAAGCTCGTACATGAGACAAAGTAAACTCGCGCGAAAGTTTCGACACACAACGGGGCGATTATCGTGGATAAAAGCCACTTGTTCCGTCGAACGTACTTGCGAAAATTCAGCCTGCCACGCGCGTCGAAGGCGCGTTGTTGCGCGCGTGAGAGAAGAAAGCTTTGCGAAGGAATATTTACAAAGTACGCACAGCAGAAAGGGGAGTGAATGAATAAGAGAAAGAGAAAGAGAGAGAGAAAGACAGAGACAGAGAGGAAGAAGAAAAAGAAAGGGAGAAGAAAATGAGAGCGCAGAAGAAATGAAGAAAGAGAAGATGACGAAGAATGAAGAAGAAGAAGAAGATTAGAAGACACGAAGAAGATTAGAGGAAACAAGACGAAGAACAAAGCAACACCACGAACAAACCATAGGTGGACCATAGGCAAAAATGTATATATATATATATATATATATATATATACAATATACGACCAGTATAAAGTGCGACAGTGTACGTGTCGTTTATTTTCTTTTCTTTTTTTTTTTTCTTTCGTGTGTCTGTGTGCGTGTGACTGGTTGCGTGTTCTTGTTTTTTCTTTTTCACATTTTCTTTTGNTTTTTTTTTTTTTTTTTTTTTTTTTTTTTTTTTTTTTTTTTTTTTTTTTTTTTTTTTTTTTTTTTTTTTTTTTTTTTTGGTCTTTGTTTTTAATATGATACCTTGGCACTTCATGCCCTGGTGGATGACACCATAGAGAAGACTACCGCAGTGGTCACAGAAGGTGGGGCTGTTGTAGGTGTGTTGCTTGAATTGGTGCTTCGTCCGCGTGTCCTGCGTTATTACACCATTACACCGTGCACACACACGCAGACTCTCGGGTCATGGCGGCAAAGTAAGGATATATATATCGTCATGGTGTAGGATTGGGGAACGATGGGAATTGGCTCGAAACATGGACCGGGGGGACAGAGATCGGCGAGAATTGATTTCCCAGATGACGATCGATCGTATTTCATCGACGTTCGACGAATTATTGGACCTAAAACTCAACTTAGGCCAGGCAACGTTGCCACGAATTTTGAGAATCGAGCAAGTGACTATTGACTTGTATTTTTGATTACTTTTTGATGGCGTGCACGATTAATAGTCTCTTGCTTCTAAAGTACGTCTTGCAATTTTCACAACAAGCGCAGAAACTATAGTTATCAAGAAAAGTGTCTAGAGTTACAGAACAAGGGAATAAATTTCATTGTTTCATTATTTTCACAAAGGATTGTTCAATGATGTCAAAATTAATTTAAAGTGAAACATTTTGTTCCAAATATATTTAGTATTATCGTTTATGTTACATACTATACTTGTGATACTTATATAATGCCATGCAATGATACTAAATACCAATAAATAACATTTACTTTAACTTTGTTTCAACTTTTTAACTGTTTTACAGCGTCTTCTTACTGAATTCAGTTCATCTTAAGCAAAAATGATCGTCTGACACTGCACGAGGTTGTAGGATGAACACGTGTTATTAAAACGTCGATGCACTTTGTAACAAATTTAAAAAAAAATTCCTCGCTTTTCAATGAAAATTCCAAACGGAGAGTACATTTTGCACGCGTTAAGCACCGATACGAGACAACATTACGATTACTACATTCGTCCCTAATTTCGCTCGTTAACTGGTGGCCCCGTCTCGCATTTACAGATCTGTCCGTTAACCATTCCAATTTTGATCGATCGATTTTTAGGGAAATCACGAGCCGCGATTCTCCGTCCGCCACGTGAGCGACGAGAGGAGCAACGTGGGGTCGGATGGACGGCTATGGAGAAAGAGTCATCTTCGAAGCACAGAAGCACAAGGAATATCAGCATCAGGGCCAAAAGGAAGACGCTAGGACATTGATCGTTTTTAGTCGGTAATAAGTCCAAACGATAAATGAAAAGAAGTGGAAAAAAAAAAAAAAAAAGAAAAAAAAACGTAACCATTCCCTTCCGCAGTGAATTGGAGAAACGTTCGCGACTCGTCGGCCTTCGTCGACAGGGAGGGGAGGGGAGTAGTGGGACCTCGAGGCCCCGCTGACGGCGTGTCATTCCCCCAGTCCCCTTCGAACTGGCAACGAGTCGAGAGCGTTTTTTTCGTCGAAACCGATCCGGCCGACGAATTTCCTTTACAAGTCGTCCGCATAAATTACCCCCGTGTTACAAGCGTGGTTAAACGAAGCGCAGTAAACGCTTAGGCCAATCGTGCGCGGTGCGAGAAAACGTGGAGAAATGTATATTTATTTATTTATTTATTTATTTATTTATTTATTTATTTATTATTTATTATTTATTTATTTATTTATTTATTTATATATAGAGCTCTTAGCCCCGCGGTTAAGGTCCTTTCCCTATTTGCTCCAGCCGAGGATCATCCTTGTTCTCGATCGCGTTGCGTTAAATCGCGGCCATTGTCTTTCTTTAGCGATTCGCTTTAGCTCGTGTTACTCTTCTTTACTTTTCTCCCTCTCTCTCTCTTTTGTTTCTCTCTAGCATCAACGCTCTCTCTCTGTTCTCCTTCTTTCGTCCTGTCGGATACACCGGCGGATGGCACGTACAACAAGTACACCGTTGGATCGCGTAAATTTCATTAGCTGTTAAAAAACGAAGACCCATCGGGATCGATTACACCGTAAAAATACGCTCTCGGGGCGCGCGTTTGGCCGGCGGGAAGCTCGACCTCGATATCGATCCGGCAGCGACCTTCCTTAACTGGCCGTCACTTTTCGCAGCATCTAACCGACGACGCGCTCGGCCCATCTGCGCAACACAGACTTTGCACGCGTGTTTAGCGCTTGTTCATCGTTAATTAACGCGTTAATTAATTTAGACGACGCCAGATGGTGAGTGAGCGAATCAACGTACGAAAGAGAGAGACAGAGAAATGGAGATAGAGAGAGGGAGCACGACTGCAGAATATGTGCCACGGTTAACGCAATAATCGTCACGTTTCTCGCGCACTTTTCCTCCTTTCACAGAGCTACCAGTTTCTTTCAGTCTTTCCTCTGGAGATTCATAATAGAAGCCAGCACGCGAGTATCCGAGCTAATCGAATCGCTAATGGACAATCGAGATTCTCCGCGCGCCACGGGAAAGGAAATCGGCACAGGCTTCGCGTGGAACGTCCTTGGCTTCGGACGAAAGAGAGAAAGGCGCGATAAAACTGCTTCGAGAAAGAAGAATAATAAACGAAACACAAAAAA